AGGAGCTCTGCTCTCATACTGTGGCAATCTTGATAAGGCATCCGCCATGCAATTACTTTTTCCAGGAAAGTGGTTTAAGGTAAAATTAAACCTACTGAAGAACTCGGCCCACCTGACTTGTTTTGGACTCAGCCTTTGAGGAGTCTGGAGGGCCTTCAAATTTTTATGATCGGTCCAAACTTCAAAAGGGTGTTGGGCCCCTTCAAGCAAATGTCGCCAGGCAAGCAATGCCCCTTTTACGGCAAACGCCTCCTTCTCCCATACTGGCCATTTTCTCTCAGTTTCTGAAAACTTTTTTGACAAATACGCACATGGCACTAGTCCTTTTTCCGGGGAAACCTGCAATAGCACTGCTCCATTAAGCCACATCTGAGGCATCACAGTGTACCACAAATGGCCGCTCTGGGTCGGGATGGGCTAAGATGGGTTGCTGTGTGAATAAGGTCTTCAGCTGATCAAACGCCCGTTGACACACCTCAGTCCACTGCAGCTTGGCACCCGGGGACTTCACTTTTACAGACTCCCCCCTGCCTTTAGTTTTCAACAATTCAGTAAGGGGGGCTGCTATTTTGGCAAAGTCTTGGATAAATTGCCTATAGAAATTTGCAAACCCCAAAAAACTTTGCAACTGTCTTCTAGTTTTGGGTGCTTCCCAGTCCAATACATCCTGTACTTTATTGGGGCCCATTTCTATCCCGTCACAGGATATACGATACCCCAAATAATCCAGCCTTTCTTTGTGAAACTCACACTTTGATAACTTTGCATAAAGCTGTGCTTGTCTTAGGCTTTGTAACACTTGCTTCACTAAAGGAATGTGTTCCTCCAACGTTCGGGAATAGATTAAGATGTCATCCAAATAAACCAACACCCCCTTGTACCCCCTTTGCTGTGGAGAAACAAGCAAATTATATTCATTTCCATACTGACTTGTGAGTGATTATTTGCTACAAAAACCTACAGTCTTACATTAAGACACTACTGCCTTTTTCCCACCACCACTTCCTTTTATACCCCCTCCCAAGTTCCAACACAAAGTCTCCAGCGCCCTCTGCTGGCTTCACAATGTCAAAATGTCAGAGAAAGAAAACTGCGGCAGTCAGGATGATCCAGCCAGGATGTCATGCAGGAAATTTATGATGTCTCCACGACGTCAGAAATTGACTCCTGACACATCGCCACCCACATCTCCTTCAAGGTCAAGCCAGTCACTTCAAGGATAACATCCATCCATCTTCCCCTTGGTCGGCCCCTCTCCTATTTTCCTTCCATTTTCCCCAGCCTCATTATCTTCTCCAAGCTTTCCAGTCTTCTCATTAAGTGGCCAAAGTACTTCATCTTTGCTATAGCGCCTTAACTCATATAAAAAAAGAAACCAACTCTGAAAAGAGTGGCAAAATACAGGTCTATCCTTAGATTGCTTAGAAGAAGAATCAACCCCATCTATTATTTTCTCTGCAGCATTGGTTTTGGCCTTTTTGAATGCATGGACAGGGAAATGATGGTGGCTGACCCTCTGAGATGGTGCTGGAATTGTCCCTGTCTGCAGAATGACTCCTTGATTTCTTCATAGGTCATATAAAAATCCACACACACACACACACACATACACCCTCGACTTATACACAACCATTTGTGGTACTAAAACCCCACAGCTCACCCAAGGGTCTTTTGGAAAGTCTTCATCATTACAAACTTGAGATTAAGCCATGGTAATGAGCCTCCATTAGATGATCCTAATGGTTTTGTTAGGTTCCTCGCACCCCAAAAGCACTCTCTGTTCCTTATAGCTATTGTTTGAGCTCCAGAGTTCTGTGGTAGTATAGAATATACTACACCATTTTATGTGACCTTGATCCTATCCCTCAAAAAACAACAACAAATCTTCAATGTGTTGTCAAAGCCTTTCATGGCCGAAATCACTGGATTGCTGTGAGTTTTCTGGGTGGTATGACCATGTTCCAGAAGCATTATCTCCTGACGTTTCACTCGCGTCTATGACAAGTTTCCTCAAAGGTTGTGAGGTTTGTTGGAAACTAGGTAAGTGAGGTGTATATATTGGTGGAATGTATTGTTGAAGGCTTTCATGGCCGGAATCACTGGGTTGTAAGTTTTTGGGGCTGTATGTCCATGTTCCAGAAGCATTCTCTCCTGACATTTTGCCTACATCTATGGCAGGCATTCTTAGAGGTTGTGAATATCCAGGGTGGGAGAAAGAACTCTTGTCTGTGTGAGGTTGTGAGGTCTGGTTTCTAACAGACCTCAAAACTATTGAGGATGCCTGTCATAAATGTAAGCGAAATGTCAGGAAAGAATGCTTCTGGAACATGGCAATACAGCCTGGAAAATTCACAGCAACTCACCTAAGCTCCAGTTTTATTGTAGATTTAGAAAATCATTATTAAGAAAGTAGATATGAAGTCTTAATGGTTAAGTTCTAAAACTTAAGCATTAAGTAGGAAAGCCAGGATGGTTCCTTCCTTGCTATGTTTTCTGGTAAGTAAAAACATTTCTTGATTCTCAAGTATACCGTTTCTGCCAGTTGACTACTGAAGCCCACCAGTGATGTTAATCAAATAGTACACTGGAGTCACAACTGCAGCAACTAGAAAACATTAGGGAGAGTCATTCACTGAGGACCAGAAAATCTCAGAGGGTATGGGTAAATGATGCCACAATGCATCTTGTCCTCCTTGAAAAATAATGAAAGTCTCTTTCTTATGCACTATCCTATTTATTAAATACAAAGAAAATAACAAGCAAGAACATCCAGGATTTTAAGGTGGTCCTGTCCGTACAGTGATGACTCAGATCTCCTGTACAGTGATGCCACTCAGAACTCCTCTTGTAAGGAGGCCAGGAGGCTCCTTCTTTTCTGTTTTTTTTTTCTGAAAAATAAAAACATTTCTAGTCTCATATGCTTTTAGGAATTACTGTCATGGGCTTTTAAGGGTGTGTTATTTCATTGGTTTTCATTATTCTGTCATTTTATGCATTTTTTTCAAATGGTTTTAGTTTGACAGATTGTATAAACAGAACACAGACATTTGAATTATTTTTAAATGATGTATCAAACCATTTGAGAATGCATTAACAAACAGAACATTAAAGCCAACCACATATACATTTTACTGAAGGCAAACCAATAAAAATGCGGTCCATGCAGCATGGAAACAACAACTTCTAAGAAACATTGAGATGGAAGGACTGTAATGATAAGATTCGCAACTGATGAGACTGCCACATTTATTTGCTCAACTTAGTAGTGCAACTCTGTCACCCTAAAGTGTTCCTCACATTGCTATGGCTGGAACCCTAGGTTGCTGCAATGGTTAAAATTGGGTATTGAATTAATAAGACAGGTTTCTTTTAGCTATACACTATGGCTAGTTTTGAATATTGGCCACTACAGCTATAACATGGAGCAATTCAGAGTATTGGGTAGCAAGAACAATATTTTGATAGCAGAAAATTGGTGATGGAATTGGACCATATCTTGGACTTACAAATTGTCTAACCCTATGATCACTAACTTAGTTTTTAAGGCTCTTATTTTTCACTTCATCCAAGACCACCATGAAGACAACTGCTGAAATATTTTGAATAGTTTACAGACCAAAGAACAACAGTTCAATCTTTATAGGATAACTATCAAGATAAAGTAAAGGTAAAAGTTTCTCCTTGACATTAAGTCTAGTCGTGTCCAACTCTGGGGTGCTGCTCATCTCCATTTCCAACCTGAAGAGCCAGCGTTGTCTGTAGACAACTCCTAGGTCAAGTGGCCGGCATGACTGCATGAGGTGCTGTTACCTTCCCACCAAAGTGGTACCCATTGATCTACTCACATTTACATGTTTTCGAACGGCTAGATTGGCAGGAGCTGGGGTTAACAGTGGGAGCTTACCTTGCTCCCCGGATTTGAACTGCCGATCTTTCGGTCAGCAAGTTCAGCAGCTCAGTGGTTTAACCTGCAGCGTCACTGTGGGCTCCTAACTATCAAGATAGATTATATAAATTCAATTCTGTAACAGTAATATTTTTCTCCCTCAAGACTGATAAAGGATGGCCTTTTGTATTTATTATCGCATATACAATCATATATACAGCTAAGTCAAAACAGTCACACTTTGTGGCAACACTAACAGTCTCCTTTGTTCCAGAGTTGTAGAATGGTGGCAAGGGAAAGCAGACAAAATCTTCCAGCCCTAAATCACCTATGATTCCAATGCCTTACTTCCTTCAGCCCATCTTCTTAGTTCTGCAGCTTTCCCTCCTATAACTACCACCTACTCCTGCACAGTCACAGCGTAATGCACCAATATGATTCTAGCCTATGTCTTATAGCTAAACAGCAGGTCCTGGTTCAATGTGCATTTCACTCTCTTCACATTCAGCAGGATCTGCACTCACAGAGCCTCATATCTGCAAAAAGCTAAAACTAAAAATACATATAGAAGACATGAACAGAGAAAGTAAATCTCTCATTGGTTTATGTATGGTCCCACTAACATCACTTACTTAGACCAGTTCCATTGAACATTTGGATCCCAAAGAGTTCCCCATATTATACTTTGGTGGCACATACCAAAGAGGCCTAGGGTACAAAGCTTAGAGAACACCAAGGGGGAATATAATCTGAAACATGTAAACATTAAAAAATATGGGTTATGCCTTGATCTGCTCACTCTCAACTCCGATAGATCTAGAAAAAATGTTGGTTTTTCTCCTGCCCTTCTTATGTACACACTGTCAAATTCAGACTTTCAGAGTTATGGTATAAATTACACATTGGTTTTCTTTTATGTGGGAATCTGTATTTTAAAAAAGAAGTAATCAATTTTCTTGGAAAAGGGTAAGGGGAAGCAACTAACCTGAATATGAATACAGATTTTTATGCTCACAGAAGCATAAGTTGTTAAATTAGAGGCATCAGAGCTGCAAAGACATCTTTTGGCGAAATAATCACTTTTTAAAGGAAATCAACAATGGTTCATACTTACACTTCTGTGGCTATGAATCCAGTGAGTTCAGATAGGAGGAGAAACAGTATGAAGAAGCAGCAGCACACAGAGACTAGGGAAAAAAACACAAGCAGATGAAGTTTAGTTCCAGTCTGTTAATACAAAGTGTTGAAGATATCCCTACTGCATTCCTATACTTCACATTGACTCCACAATTGCCCTTCCCTCTCTCAGTTGCTCTTGGATGTTTTGAGGAAAACATCAATCAGGCAAGACCTTCACCTGCCATTCCACTTTAACTGCTTTTAGTGCACCCTACGGACCTTTGAAGTTTGTAATCTGGGAGGGCATATGAACTTTCTGGCTGAAAATTGTAAATGTAGGTTGTTCTAGGTTTTTTGGGCTGTATGGCCATGTTCTACAAGTATTATCTCCTGACATTTTACCTGCATCTATGGAAAGCATCCTCACAACACCTGAGCATGCTTGCCACAGATGCAGGTCATGAGAGAATGCTTCTAGAACCTGGCCATACAGCCCAAAAAACCTAGAACAACCCAGTGATTCTGGCCATGAGAGCCTTTGACAATACATCGTAAATGTATCTCTCTAAATAGGGATTCCACAGGATGGAACCATAGTACTTAAAGAGGAATCATAGTGATACACATATGTAATGTGAACAGGTCCCAGATTTGCATTCTTTGTTTTCATGTGGTTATGATCGGTAAAGAGAAAGAGTATCATCATGCTGGAAAGAAACAACAATTTGAAATGTCCAAGGGCTCTTTGCAAACTGAATTCTTCTGCCTTGCTCCCAGGACACTTTCCCTTACTTGTTACAGAAAGCAAGTGTCACAATGTAAAAGTATCCCAGTTTCTGCTGCACAGCTCAAGGTGGCTCGCTTGAGAGTTCAAAAACAGTAGTACATTTGGATCCCATTCCGGTTCCTAAGTACAAAGACACAGAAATCTCCCTTTCCTGTGTTAACTCAATATAAACAAGCTGCTAGCAATTGTTCCATAGAGTAGCATGGAAATGGGTGGTCATTTAAAATGGCAGTAAATACAGTATCAAAAACTGAAACCACAAATTAGGAGTGGGGAATATTGCATTAAAAGTTCTAAATGAAAAATCACCCTCTTCTACCATCCCGATTTTCCTCAAAGTGAGCACAGATAGGATCTCTTGATTCCATCCCTTCACAACAGTCTTGTGCGGGAGGTTAGACTGAGAGATAGAAATATACTCCAAATTGTCCAGTGAGATTCATGATTTAGCAGGGTCCATATACACCAGTGCCCTAAGTACACCTTTTAAAAATGGTATGGATTTGACACAGGTATGAATTTGACTCACCAAGCAGTTGAAGCCATCACATCACCATCCCTTCACAGTGGGTACTGCTTTTATTTTCCCTTTTTTCTAATTTGTTTATGTATTGCTAAAACATCTTTCTAGGTTTGTTTGAAAACATTTCTAGGTTTGTTTGAAATTTTTACAAAAATTATGAAAGCAAAATACTGCTTTAAATTGACCCAACTTTCTCTCTTCGTAATGCCTTCCACACACATACACAAATAAGGGATTTCTACCTTTCTATCTGCTGAACACTTGCCAAATCTAATCCAGTATCCCTTTCCTTAAATGTCACTATTATGTTGGAGCAGTAAGAGTTTAGCACAGAAAACAGTTCCTACAATTGCTGTCTGGAAATCTCTACCCTGCCCACTTGTTAAAGCCACAAAGGAAGGGCAGATGAGAATCTTAAGAAATAGTAAAATACCAGAAGTACAGCACATTCATCAAAATAATATTTGGATATCTTCCAGTAATATAATAAAACAACAAAATACCGTAATTGATCAATGAAAGCAACAGAGAATATTATAATCAGGTGTTCTACTTCCCCCTTCTCATGTCTTGAAATGGTTGTGAATCTGCTTTTTTGACAGGAGGATCTGGTTTTCAGAGAGCCAGTGTAGTGGTTTAGGGGTTGAACTAGGACTCTGTAGAGACCAGGATTTGAATCCCTGCTCAGTCATGAAACTAATTTGGTGACCCTGGGCAAATCATATTTTCTTAGCCTGAGGAAGACAATGGCAAGCCTCTTCTGACCCAATCTTACTAAGAAAACCTTGTAAAATGTTTCCATTAAAGTTTGGATATAACAGAACAACTTGAAGGCACACAACATTAACAAATCTGGTTTTGAAATTGTGTTGTGACCCATTTTGCATTTCAGTACTGGGAGAAAGTCAGAAGAGACAATTTAAAAATGAAAAATGAAACAAAATAGAAGAAAATTACATTTGTTGCTTTTTCTTCTAAAATGAAGAATAAAAACTGAAACTCTTTTTGAAACTTTCTCATGTCGCAGTTTACCAAAGATGCTACAACATGAAGTTCACAGCAATTCTGCACTCAATATATATTAACTCCTGATTTGGATTTTGCCAAGCTTTGCTGAAAAAAAACCCCTTGCAATCTCTACTTTTCTGATTGGCTTTGGTATAATATTAGTTTAATACAGCTATCCCTGAAAGAAAGCTTGAATGTATTTAAAATGTCATCACCAAAGCAATGGTCTGCTGTGTGTGAAGGATACAGAATGAGATGCTGGGTGGGGCAAAATAGTAAGAGGCCCCGTCATGAGCAGAAGGAACAGATTGGTATTTACTGATGAACTAAAGCAAACATTCTGTACATACTAACTCTATGCTGAATCACAACAAATAGGCAGGAAAGAAAGATACCTTAAACCACAAACTAACAGTATGGGGTAGCAACTAAGGAGCAAATGACCTTATTTGTTTTTTCTTCAGTCACGATGACAGAACATTTTAACATCCCTCCTTGTCATTGCAGTTACAGCCTCCTTTCCTGGACTATGTTCTATGTATCATCTCAGACACACTGCTTTTAAACAGAATAAGACTGGAAAAAAAGAAGGGCATAGCTATTCACTTCAATGGACCATATTAAGATTTTTTTTCTAAGGGTGCCAATCCCTCAAGATGCAGAATGACATTGTGTTCTATCTGTTTGTCACTGATTTACCACTTAAGAAGAAAAGATCTAGGACACAGGTGGGCAACTACTCTGTGCCTACAATTCAGTATTGACTTATGGCTTCATATCAAAGGAGATAGGAGCTCCCATTGGTACAATGGGTTAGACCCTTGTGCTGGCAGGACTGAAGACCGACAGGCTAGAGGTTCGAATCTGGGGAGAGCATGGATGAGCTCCCTCTGTCAGCTCCAGCTCCCCATGTGGGGACATGAGAGAAGCCTCCCGCAAGGATGGTAAAACATCAAAACATCAAGGCATCCCCTGGGCAACGTCCTTGCAGACAGTCAATTCTCTCACACCAGAAGTGACTTGCCGCTCCTGACATTAAAAAAATCAAAGGAGATTTGCCTTCCCAAGAAGCTGAGAAAATGTGGCTTTCCCAGTATCATTCAGTGGATTTACATGGCTGAATGGATTTCCATGGCTGAGTGGTTTCTCTGATTTCAAGCTGAACACTCATGTTACTATGCTACACATAGTTGTTGCCCTCCAGGAGTTGATGGACTGTAACTCTCAGCAGTTTTGGCTAGCATTCCCAGTGGTGAGGGATTGCGATAGCTACAGGCCAACAAATTCTGGATGTCCACAGTTTGATCTACAATCAGTGCCTGGAGCAAGCTGTGATCTTGGGCCACTTTTACTGCCATCTGACTCACTCATAGTTATGCTGATGCTCATGCCACTCACCTCTGTTGGAAATCTGACAGGTGGCTAAAGGAAGAGGAAGTGCACTGCTCATGGCCTGGGCTTCCCCTCTTTACTATATACCCCTTAATGTTAACTCCAGAATTGAAACCAAAGGACCTCCTAATCACTCAAAAGGCAGATCAGGGAAAATGTTTTCTGGATTGTACTAAATAGGGTTACATCCCCTCATGTTGACAAACTCCTGGGTTTAATCTTGGATCTAACAGCTTGGGCCCTGTGGTGGCTGGGTGAGTAAAGCAAGTGCACCAGCTACACCATTTCCTTGAGATTTCTAATGTGGCCGCAGTGACACATTACTTACATTCTGTTAGGATCACTGACATGCACTCTATGTGCGCCTTTGAAGAATGTTTAGAAACTTTAGTTGGCCCAAAGAACTACAGACAAACTTTTGACAAGGGTTGGTTACAGGGAGTACAGAACTCTCTTGTTCAAGTAGCTCTGCTGACTGGTAGTCTAATTTGCAAGCACAATTCAGACTGTGGGGTCTGACCTATAATGCTCTAGAAGGCTTTGGCCCAGTTGCTTCTGAATCAGAAAAACCTGTACAGGCTCCAGAAGAGGCCTTTAACTCAGTCCCACCATCTGTACAGCCATGTCTGGATATGCGACAGGGCCTTCATAGTGACCTCTTCCAGGAACTATAACTCCTTTCCTAACTAGATTGAATGAGCACTTCCTTGCTATCCCTCTGTGGGGTGTAACATTGCACATAACTGAATACGTAATGCCACACCACATATGTAGTTTTCTGTCGCCACTTTAATACCTGGGACGTACTCTGTTTCTGTCCTKTTACARGTGCCTTTCTTCTTGACTCAGTGAGGGGAAAAAKAATTYCCTTTCTAAATYCCTYTACYRCCTTGHACTRCTGCAGTTTCCYKTTTAWAYTGDCTGSRGCKYTCTTKTGAGCTSTTAAAMCTTTGYRCTTTATATCACATGCWTGAGACACTCCRRKAAGCAACVAAGTRACAAAGTTTATTTATAGCTTCTGGTTCCAATGCTTTATGGTTACATTTGTGTTTTGTTACAGTCTCRAGTCTTACATTCAGTATCATTCACTCAGTTAACTTTTCTTATGAAACCCTCACTGTAACAACTATGTTACTTTCTTCATATTCCCTTGGCTGAACTATATTCTGACTTAGGCCACACTGGCGCCTTCTTATTCTTSCTTAAACCTTGAGCTCTATTTTCCCGACTGTTTCTCTCTAACCGAGGTTTCTAACTCTACCCCACTTTTTTTAACTGACTAACTGCTTCTTTCAAACTTGATTCCGCCCCTTTAGAATGTTCAGTTCTGTAACTGCCATTCTGGCTCAGCGGCCTTT